GTGAGTGAGGTATCGTTAGATTGTGAGGTCATTGTTAACGATGAGAAGTGGGAAATGTTCCTTAAAGCATCGTTTCATGGACAAGAGCACTCCTCATGGCCGTTTGAAATAATCCAAAGGAATTGCAGGTTCAGATTTAGGTAGAGCGTTTTGCAGGGAGATGATTTGACAGAACAAGGGTGCGATTGAATGGTTTCAAGGTTTGGAAGCTTCAGTTCCTCGTCGAAGACACCAAAGTCCACGGTGCCAACAGTGTAATTGCAATCGGATGCATTCAAAGCAACCGTTGGCTTTCCATAATCGTGGCAGCTAAATACTTTTATCTGTAGATTGGTACCTCATATTTTTGTAGAACTTAGAAAAGCCCATCGATCTGATTACTTCATTGAGGACGTTATAGCTACATTGATTGTCCATCCTGCGCTAGCAAATTTGCGAATATCAGCAAATCATCGAACTTATTATCCTTTTACCTCCGAATTCTGGAAGTTGGAAATTTCGATAAGCCCTGTTTCTCTTCACGTAGGCTTCGTCCAAGTCACTATGAGCTGTCTTTCTTGTGCACATCATTCCATAGCCATTGGTGTGGATGATTTGTCTCGAATCCTATGTTCCCAATTGCGGGCGATTGTACAAGACAACTCTGGATTGGAAGGGAACTTCCTGGATGAGCGTATGATTCCAACTCCTGTGCGTAGACTTAATTCCCTTATACTGGTGTGCCTCTCAGATAGCATTCTACGATTTGTAGTCCGCAGCGAAAATGAACCTCGTGATCGAGAACATGAATATTTTTTTGTGGGACTCTTGAGGGGTATTAGTTGGGACGATCAAGGAATTTACAGTTTCACAGATGTTTTTAGCGGGCAGGGATTCCGTTAAGTTTGTAAGCTAACTTCAAAGTCGGTTGGTGGGCAGTGAGGTCTTAGACATTTAGTATTACTACGATATAGTCATGGAATGTGGAAAATGGGGTATTTCTGGAATCACATAGATCGCAATAGGTAAACACTAATTTTATTCAAAAGAAAAGAATCTACTCCTGCTATGGTAGTCTTTTGTTACATTGGGTTTAGAGGTCGTCGGTTTTTAAGTGTTCTCGAAACATGGTTTACGTGCAGTGGTAGAGCTTGCATTGACTGCCCATTTGAGCAGTATCTGAATAATGGTGTGTAAAGCTATTTAAAATCCTTTTATTCTTCTGCTCCCTTTGTGGAAAAATTGGAAGCTTGAAAATATTTCCTTGAAGTGATATTGTTTTGATATGGCTACATTGAGGTGCCATAGTTTCATAGATGAATTTACAATGGATCGGGGACTGAACAACAACATCAACATAATTCATAAAAAATGGGCATGTAGAGGACTTCGGTCTCCTTTCTTCAGTATTTTGAGACCTAACTTGTCGAAATTCGAGTCCTACCCTCAAATCTGAACGGGATGTTTGACTCTTTTCAAGTTCATGCATATGCAGTTTGTGATAGCCAGAGCACTTCTACGGGTATATGCAAGAGCGTATCGACTACCTGAATGTTGGCATTAAGTCTGAAGACATTGGCAATATGAAAAGTGCACTGTCTCTTCCCTGCTTTTCAGTTTTGTGTGAATCCTGCTCCTTAGGTATCAAAGTTGGTGTTCGATCAGTGCTTGCAGGGGCGGACATGCAGAGAAAACTTCATGATGTTAGAAAGTTCATTCATTCGAACATGCTGCATGCTGCTGTTGGTGCGGCTTGGGTTCATCGAGCACCCTGATAAACAGTAGTGGTCTCAGAAATTTAACTCCAAATTCATTATCCCCTACTGTGCCAAGAAATAAATAAACAAATAATAGCAAGTCAATCCGAATTTTAAAATATCCTGCCTAACCTCGTGGGTCTCAGGGGGTTTGAACCGTGGAGTTAGTATTAAAAGGTAGACAAGGCTAGGGCAAAACGTTCTGATTGACAGAAGGTTGTCTGTGCGGAACGAAGTTTTCTTTGCTTTTATGTGCCTGTGTCAGACCCAGGGAAATGCGTCCTATAGCTTGCGAATAAGAGCTTCTCTCTTTTGAAGAAAGTCGAGGCTCTGCTAGCGGCGGTTGGAATATTCCTTTCGGACCCAGATCTTACTCCACTTACTTAACAACGTATTTGTAAGTCACAACTTACATCCTGAAGGATTTTGGATTGCGCACTCTTTTAAGACTTGATAACTGGTTGTCTGCGTGGCATTGTCGCGCACACACGATGTGTGTTATCTGTCATATAGTTACTGAATCCACCACGAGTTAATTACTAACGGTACTATCTGTGCAGACCAGCTGAGCAAAAACCCACTTGCCCGAACACTTCAAACCCTCTGAACAAGGGAACGAACTCCATGAGCAACACGTACGCTTCTTTATCAGAGCCAAGCCGGTGGCACACACAAAGAGATAGTAGCAGAGAGAGAGAGAGAGAGAGTGCGTGATTCCACTGTTGGCTAGATGGGTCAGAAATCTTTAAACCACTCACCTGGGGCAGATTGCAACAGAGCTGCAGGTTCCACGTTTGGCATGGCATACTTGGAGGGTTCCAGCGCTTCTCGTCCTCGCAAACCGTGCTCCTTGAGTTACCGCATCCATCCTTGACGACACCCTCACCCTCCCTTCCTTAATTGTCGACACCTAACTCCCCTTCTGAAAGCATAAATACAGGGTGCCCTCTGCTGCTGCAAGGTGTAAGATCCCGCACCTGTACTGAAGCTCCTTTTACTGCACCCCCATAAATTGGCCATCTGCAACTGGCCTTTTCACCACAAGTCTTGGTCGCAATGAATCCACTGGCCTCGAGCCACAGAATGATATCGCAACAGAATGCTGATGATCACATTTGGAGTGCCGACCTCTCTACCCTTTTTCTTAGAGCAAGGTCCAGTTCTCAATACTCGGATTAAGCCCGGACCGGGTCAGGTTCTTAGCCCAATTACGAAGGCTTGAAGAGGATCACTCGGCATTTTCCTGGTTTCATTAACGAGGTAGCTGCGATTCCGGTGTGGGAAAGGAAGAAGTAGAATCCTCATACATCCTTCACTAGAAAAGGAAACAGAAAAAGAAAAGGAAAACTCGAGTTCCTTATTCGTTCATTAGTTTATTTACAGAATGGGACAACTAGTTTATTAGGCTAGAATCAAGCTTAGCATTAATTTAGATAAGCATAGATTGGGGGATCGCTAATGCACCCTACTAGCTCAGAGCCATTCGATTTTTAGGTTTGTTTGTATTTGTATATTTTACTACCATTTATACATCATTTCATTTCGTAAGTTTATTTTTGATCATCTCCTAGGGTGAGTTGCAAAACTGTGCCCTAAAATTACACATGAGCTAAAAAGCAATGCCCCACATAAACACTCAAGCTAGAAAGCTGTGCTCCAAGGAGTTGGTTGGTCCACCCCTCATCGAAACTTTTACTTTTCGTTACTTTTTAGGTTTTTTGGTTTGACTTTCTGGGATTTGTCGGTACGTTCGAGACAAGTATTCCTTTCTTCAAGGTTTGATTTACAGTCCATGCATAGCTTCTGTTATCAGAAGTCAAACATCAAATACTTGCCACATTAGACATTGGAAATGGAGCTTCCATGGAAACGAAGAAGAAGAAGAAGCTGAAGCAGCAGCATGGTAGAATACCTTTCTGCTGCCCTTCGTCGGTTGCCTGATTGTGGGGAAACTTGAATAAATATGAAGAATATAATTTAAGCCAAGATTATCACTCTGCATGCACAGGGCATGTGGGCTTTTGCAATAATTCCTAATTTAGACACCATGGGATCCAACTTTGTTTGGGTTGGAGATTGATCCGTCGAAAAGGGATTTCAAAGTCCTGAATCTAGGTTACAACATCTCAATACGGACCTCCTCCAGATCCCGAATTCCAGAAGGGTGGAGTTAGTTAGGAATGCTCAGGAAAACGAGTCATATCGTGTACTTTGGTCGATTGCCCTGGTGGACCACATTCCCTGTGAGTCTATCTCTTCAAGGATTACATTCTGTTCTTATCATCTAAATCGTCCATGTAAATGGATGAATGTAATTGCACAGTAATCACCTTGCATTCTGTCATTTATTATATTCCTACATAGCGGCTTGTTTACTCCGACCTCGTTGCATCCTTTATGAGCTTGTAAGGGAGATTAAAGATTAATCTGGTAACATTAACGGCCTGAATCAAACTTCGATTTATTTATTTATTTTTATTTATTTTTGTGGTTTTAGGAGTTTTTTTTATTTGTGTGGATTATTTCCATGCGGGGGAACTCGTCCTTCTCACCTTATCCTTCCTTCATCGATTTCAAGGTCCTAAATGCAAAATTGTAGAAGCCACTCTTTCCTAGAAAAGTTAAGGCAAAGGACATGGTGAAGACATAGGGAACTCCAAAAGCTGCAAAGAGGAAAGGGGTTCCCATTATGCGAACATAATGGGAACCAACAACAACACAGAGGTTAAAAATAAAAAAACAAAAACAAAAACAAATGCTCTCTACCTCCCGAAGGTTATTAGATTTGACCCACAGTAACACCGTAGCACTTTTACTTTCCACATCAAGCTTTTGACTTTTTCCCGGGGAGCTTTTTCCCCCTCAGAAAGCTTTCATACGAAACAGGTTGCAACAGAGACGTTCGACGAGGCTCTGCAGCGGCGCCAGAGCCACGCAGATCGCAGCACATGATGCCAGATTGCAAGTGAGATGGACAGAGGACTCGATCATCCAACTTACACAGTGCAAAATTCGAAAAAACAGAAAAGAAATTGGAACAAAATAGGGGAGGAAAACGAGAATTGACAACTACAGTAATAAAAACTTCTCACGCGGAATACTCAAGCGCTTCGCCGCGGGTCGCGTTCTTCACCAGGGAAGTAACAAGAGGAGGGAGGGGGAGGGGAGGGGCAATGGGGCCCAGGAATTGGACGACGATGGAGTAAACGCGGGGATTGCGATGTTGCAGATGCGCTGATGAGTGCCCGGGTGGCAGGGCCATGTGGGGGGGTAAGGAACATTTGGGGAGGCGCTGGAGCGTGTGCATGGAGAGATGATGGGACCAAGACCGAGACCGAAACCGAAACCCAGGAATTTATCAATTCCTGGCAAGAGCCCCTGCAGCAAATTTTGCTTATGAAAGGGTGATGAATCGAGGGAACTCGCGAGGTGGTGGAAGAGGAGGCTGGTGGTGGTGGAGCTCCTGTGGCAGAGCTCCAATGGCGTTGACGAGGTGAAGGGGGATCGAGTTTCCCGGAAAAGTATGAGAGAGTACTAAAGATGTCGCAGAGATGAGAAACGAGACCAAACACAGTAAACAGCGCGATGTTTCATTTGTGGAGGACGTGAGAGGAGGTTTCACCAAGGAGTAGGAAGGAGCGGGGAAAGATGGTGGTAATCATCTTGATTTGACGAGATTGTGGGTCCGAGGCTAGTTTGGAGGTTTGTGGGCATTGCGATCTTTTTAGAGGTTTTCCCATTTTGTATTTGGGGGGTTGGTGTCCGAGTTTCTGGCGGGGTTTGCGGCTTATGGTGCTTTTTGACGTGAATGTCAGGCGGTGGCCATTACCAGCCGCGACCGGAAGGTTCACGCTTTGGACGGCACGCCTTGTATTTCCACCGAATTTTGCGTGGAGTCTCGGCACGGAATGATGCGGAAATTTCGGGGCGGGAAATCACAGTTTTTTCGGGGGCTAGTGCTTTAGAGAGTCTCGGGGTGTGCGTTATGGTTTGAGGAAGGCATTGTAGGACGTGTGTGCCCTGCCTCAGACACATTGCACGGCGTCTCACTGCCCCTCGGCCTCTTGCGCCGCCACTATTGCAGGTACAAAGCTGTGGGACGGACTCGGACATCGTGCACTCGTTTGTAGTCGGTTATTGATGATTGCTTAGAGGATATGCAGATGAGTGGAACACATTCCGCAGCTTCCTGCCAGGTAAATTGCACGTGATCGCATTGCAAGCAAATCCGGATAGGCATGTTGGTACCCGCGATTCAATTTTGGACACTGATCTACAATGCTCTTGGTTTTATGGGTGTTTAGAGGAGAGGACACAGATCTTGATCGAAGGCGGTGACCTCGAAGGTGTCTCTAGTCTTTTCTATCGGGTCGACTGGCTCGTGTTATGCTCTGGGTTGATGTGAATGAATAATGTCTATGCATGGAAGGCACGGAGAGATGGAAGCAGCTTTTGTCATCTACTAGACCAAGCATCTACCCACATTGACTCAAAGTTAGTCGTATACGAATCTCATGCTTGATGCATGTGTTAGTTCCTGGTAGAGCCCGTTATTCGCTAGCTATTCGCACCCATAAATTCCGGCCGTGTTGAACTTTAGTTTCAACTTCAACACATTAGCAACAGATTGGCATCAGCAATTTGAACTCTCCCCGCGGGAAGATGCCGCCGAAGTTTGAATTTGCGGAATTGTTCGGTAAAGAGCCAAAGCGGGGTGCGCCGGTGGTATTGAAGATGGACAATCCTAACTTCGAGATGCTGGAGGTCGACAGTCCCACAACTGCTCTACGCGGTGGACAAGCAGCCAAAGGGAAGGGTAAAAATGCGAAGCAGCTAACTTGGGTGTTGCTTCTCAAAGCCAACAAAGCCGTGGGATGCCTGACTTGGGTAGCATCCGGTGTTATGACATTGTTGGACGCCGTGAAAGAGCGCCTCATTCTCCGTAAAGGAGTTGTCAAATCTGGTAACCTTTCCAAGGGAAAACTATCTCAGGTTATCGTAGGCTTCTTGATCTTTGCATTGATCATGTTGTGCGTAGAAGTGGGAGCACACACCTTAGGATGGCAATTCTCCGTGCCGCAGTGGCCGTCTACTCTCAACGTTTCTAGCCTACCGCATGCTGTATTCATGGGGTGGATGTACATTCGCGCTTCATACATTGCGCCGGCGCTCCAGAGGGTAACAGACTTCTGCATATGGTTGTTTCTTCTCCAATCCCTGGATCGGATCATCTTGTGCATGGGGGCTGTGTATATCAAGTGGAAGAAGATTAAGCCAATACCAAAGAACCCCTCTCTCGAGTCAGACAATGTCGAGGAACCGGACAAGGGCCACCCGATGTGCTTAGTGCAGATCCCTATGTGCAACGAGCGTGAGGTTTGTGACTGATCCCATTTTTTGAAATCCGTTTTTGGTCACAGATCAATTATGTTAGCATTTCTGTCCCTTTAAAAGCTCACCGCAGGATCCGCTGCCAATCTGTTAAACAGTTCGAGTCCTGAGTGGATATATTTTCGTCTTTCATTTGCAGTGTTACGAGCAGTCGATTTCAGCAGTTTGTCAGCTTGATTGGCCGAAGGAGCGGATTTTGATCCAGGTGTTGGACGATTCATCTGACGAGGAGGTTCAATGGCTTATTGAAAATGAGGTAAAGAAATGGAAAGCGAAAGGGATTAACATAATCTACAGGCACCGGACTGACCGCACGGGTTACAAGGCCGGAAACATGAAATCAGCTATGGAGTGCGACTACGTGAAGGATTATGAGTTTGTGACCATCTTTGACGCTGACTTTCAACCTAAATCAGACTTCCTTAAACTTACAATCCCTCACTTCAAGGTAATTTGAGGACCGTAATTGATTAGTGGAGCATGATGTGATTATGATCGTCGGGGTAGTTATTTAAGATTGCAGAGCAGGTGTAAACATGACGTTTTTAATTCTGATATGTCTCAGGAGGATATTCACTTGCAGTAAATTGAATTGTGTTGCTTTTAGGACAATCCCGAGCTGGGGCTCGTGCAGGCCCGATGGGCTTTCGTGAACAAGGATGAGAACCTGCTTACACGCCTCCAGAACATCAACTTGTCTTTTCACTTCGAGGTTGAGCAGCAAGTAAATGGTGTTTTTCTCAATTTTTTTGGCTTCAATGGCACCGCGGGCGTTTGGCGAATTAAAGCACTCGAGGAGTCTGGTGGCTGGTTAGACAGAACTACTGTGGAGGACATGGATATCGCTGTTAGGGCTCATCTCCACGGCTGGAAGTTTATCTTTCTCAACGATGTCCGAGTAAGTCTCATCTTGCTCTGTGGTGTTGATCACGTAGTTTAGAGAGCAATAGATTTGGAAAAACCTGAGCAGTGATGTAGAAATTTACATTTGGGTTTTGAATCGTCAATGTATGAAAAAAGGTTTCTGTGCTATTTTTGATTATTGGATCTTGGTGGTGGTTTTCTGCTCCAGTCTTTGTGCGAGCTTCCAGAGTCATACGAAGCATACCGCAAGCAGCAACATCGGTGGCATTCTGGCCCCATGCAGCTTTTCCGTCTAGCCTTGCCAGACATCATTAAGGCGAAGGTGTGTTTCCGCCTTTGTCAATATTGTTGATTACTTCAAACATAATTCCGCTACTTTGTGACCTGTACATGACAGTTTTGGTTACATTTGTTGAATCGTGGGTCTGCGGTTCAGAGGCCTGAATTGGTTTTGTTGAAATTTGCAGATATCCTGGTCGAAGAAATTCAATATGATCTTCCTCTTCTTCCTGTTGAGAAAGCTCATTCTACCGTTCTATTCCTTCACACTGTTTTGTATCATCCTACCTATGACCATGTTCGTTCCTGAAGCAACTCTACCAGCCTGGGTTGTGTGCTACATTCCAGCACTCATGTCGCTCTTGAACGTTATTCCATCACCGAAGTCCTTTCCTTTCCTTGTTCCTTTCCTACTGTTCGAGAACACCATGTCCGTCACCAAGTTCAACGCCATGATCTCCGGTCTTTTCCAACTACGTAGTTCACATGAATGGGTTGTCACTAAGAAATCAGGGTCCAAAGGATTAGCAGACATGCCGCCATCGGCAACAGAGGCAGAACTTTTGATCGAAGTGAAAGAAGTTAAGACTGCGCCTGTTCTCCTGGACCGAGGGGCATCTGAGTCTGGTATAGACCAGTTGAAGCAACAAGCTGAATCAAGTGCACCAGCGCCTGTACCAAAGAAGAAGGGAAGTCGTCTGTATCGTAAGGAGCTCACATTGTCTTTCCTGCTTTTGACTGCTGCGGGCAGGAGTTTGCTCTCAGCGCAGGGAATCCACTTCTACTTTCTCCTATTTCAAGGTATCTCGTTTTTAGTGGTCGGTTTGGATCTCATCGGAGAGCCAACGGGTTGATTCTGGGCATTGCAAGAAAGGATTCGATTTCTGCAAGTCTATCGAACCTGCTACCTGCGAGATGAATCCGGCTTGACGACATCCAGGAATCCTTAACAACCAACATTATCAGGAGTAATACACAGCTTTTTTACACTGAAGCCTTCCGTAGAGAAGGATACGATGCCGAGGAAAGCTTTCCGCCCTGTCGACTGGTTGGGGCGATTGGTTTTCAAGCCGCTTCATGTATACCCGGGTATTGGCAGGCTTTCAGCTAGAAGGCAGTGGAGTGGACCATGAGAGGTTGTTGAACTTCTAATAGAAGCCGAGCACCCCATATTAATCCGTAATTTCTAGCTGAAGCACAAGGTCGAAGGACTTGAGTTGTGAAGCATAGCGCTTGCCAATACTGTTCTTGATCACGACAGGTTTTTCAACCTGAAATCTTTTGAATTCATCACGTTATTCTTTTAGCCTGTAGCTCCATGTTAGTCGATCCTGAAGCTTGTATTGTAGGCTTCTCTTTCTGCAGATCAATCATTGATTCTCAGTGCCCATTCCAACGCACTGGTGGCGTGACTCCGAAACTGGGTCACAATCGTCATCTGAGTAACTATCTTTGCCATAAAATGCGGGTTCCGTTTTTTTCCCTTTCCTCTCGCCCACATCAGCTGTAATTAAATCCTCATAGACGGTATCTTATAAATATCTTCAAGTCCCATTTGGGTGGTTTCTTCATGGATTTTAATGTGCTGGTTCGTGCTTAAAGATTTACACTCAAATGTGACGGCGATTTATATTACAGTTTTGTGCTACTTGTATGTCTTGATACTTCACAGAATACTTGATTTCTTGACGGGAACATGAGGCCCTTGCACAAGTTTTAACAGCTGATGAATTACGCAACATGAAGGATTATCATATAATTGTTTTCATTAGTAGCTTTTGTGATCATATCCCCCCCACCGCTCCACATCTTTGAGCCGTGATCTAGAACAGAAATTTCAGCACTTGTGCTTCACAAGATCTCCAGGAATCTCTTTATTTTTGCTGTTGAAAAAACAGTCATAGTTCTTGTCTGCGAGCAACGAGTTATTTACATCAAAAATAGTTTGTCTATTGATATTTTTTTAGTTATGATATTTAAATGGACGTAGTCTTAAGTATATTTAGAAAAAAAAAACACCATCCAATATCTTTGTGGTGTAATTTTCAATTACCATTTCAAAGCCGTTTTTGGCATAAAAATAAATATTTGAAAACTTGAGATTTGGTTCGTATAAGTATACGGAACGAGTAGAAATATTCTTTGAAATAAATTCTTCCTTCGCTAAAAATTTATTAACTCTTTACACATTAACTGTATTACTAAAAATTCAAATACATGTATTTATAAACTCAAAAAATTATGTTAAGATGGTGACTAGCAGAAACAGTTTAATTTCTTTTGAAATTAAATTTCATAGAAATAGCAATACAAATGATAATTATCACTTATATATATATATATATATATATATATAATGTTTTTAGATAAGCACAAAATTACTCAAAAACCTAACATGTTTATTACATTTCTTTCTTTTTCTTTCATTTACAAATTTTTGATTAAAAATATCAAGTATTAAACCATTGTTTGAGATATTTTACAAACTATGAAAGAATGATTTTTTTTTAATAAAAATATGGTTCAATTATTTTTATTTTATGTATATATAAATCTGTAGGGTTTTGCTACTACCATTACAATTTGCCACCTACAATATATATATATATATATATATATATATATATATATATATTAAAAATTCAAATCAAGATTTTTGTTAATATTTTTATGTATGTCATTTTTTTAAAGTTCTATAGAAAGTAAATTTAATTTTGATAAAAAAAATAAGAAAAAAATTAATAAAAATAAATTATGGTGGCAATAGCAAAAATTATAGTGGCTTAAGCAATACAACACACACACACACACACACACACACATATATATATATATATATATATATATATATATATATATATATATATATATATATATATATATATATGTGTGTAATTTATTATTTTTTCAAAAAAACTAATTCTAATAAAAAATGAAGAAAACCACAAACCATAATTAAAAAAAATATTGTTATGCTTAATATCAAATAAAGTATTTATAAATGATTACCTAAAATCAAGATAGACTTATAGTTTAAATGATGTAATATGAAACTTTGTTAAATTCATAGATTAATAAATCTATAAAATTTTAAAATTTTTAATCTTCATATATATTTATAAATCATATATATATATATATATATATATATATATATATTATTTTTAATTATTTTTTATTATAATAATTATAATTCTATTTTCAAAATTATCATTTGAACATACATTATGTATTTTGGTAGAGAATTCTAGAGAGATTTGGCATCGATTATTGAAAACTTTTGAGTTTTATGTAAAAAAAGGAGACATGGCAAAAAAGTAAAAATCTTATAAACACCAAAAATAACTGTTTAAGTATTAATCCTTATTGGGAATAAATCAAGTTCTTCAACTAACCTATTAATATGCAAAAGAATGTTTTAGGTTGATAAATACATATTTTTTATTGATTTGTTTCATGTTCATTATTATAGTCATTGTTTTAAAGCTTGATGTAAATTAATTAAAAGTTTGATTAATGCATGTCTTATCTACTTTCTCGTAGAACATTTTATTAGACTTTTTTATATAAAACAAACATAATGATTGTTTCTTCTTGAGGAAAAAAATTCATTTTGTAAAGATTTCATTTTTTGGTATATATTTTTTAGACTCTTTTACTGTAGGAAAATATTAAAAGAATAATTAATAAATAAAAAAAATTCATCAATTATCTTTTGTAAAAATTAGCAGATGTAGGCTTTTGGCTTTTATTTTTATTTGATAATAGGATAAATAAATGAACAAGTATTGAGCAAAGTTAAAGATGTGGAGATATTGTCTAGTATTTAAATAGTTGTTAAAAGAAAGAAGTTTGATAGCATTGATGAGTCTTAATATATATATATATATGTTTTTTTCATTAAAGAACTTAAATATCAAAATTAAGCACTTAATGAAAAAATCTTAAATATCAAAGTTAATTTTTGATATTTAAGTTATTTTGATAAAGCATAAGCATATTAGAAGTTGTGAATTACCTTCATCTAAAATAACATTATTTTTAGTATTTTTTTTTTATTTTTAAGTCTTTTCTTTTATTTTACTTAAGTGATATTAGAAATTTTCTTTTTTGTAATGTTATCAAAGTAAAGCTTGTGTAAATGAAAAGTGCAATGGTACAAATATAAGAACAACTAAGAAATTAATACTTATAATGCATCAACTCAATTCACTACCACATGAAATAATAAGATTAACAAAAAATAAAGATGTAGAGATGATTGGAGTTATTTCAACATGTACACCAAATCATGTTATTTTTCATATGGTTGAACATTGTTCAAGCATTAAAAAACCAAAAGTTTCCCTATTCAAGAAATTTGATAGAATAAGGTCAAAATTTTGAAGATTTATGAATTAAGTACAATTGGTGATTGAACTTTAATTCCAAAGCTATCCAATTCTAAGATCACAGATGAGATTTATTGAAATAGTACTTTTAGGTTCTACACTATTATAATTTTTATCTTTTTTTTTGAATGACAAGATTGAATATTGGTTAATTTGAAGACTTTTATGGTAGAATTTTGGTAGAATTATGATTGATGTGTGGAAAATATGATATAATTTGTATTACAACCAATAAGATTTGAATTTTATTATAAAAGAATCAATTAATAATATTATATACTTCATAATTTTAACAATTAGTGACTGATATCAAGTGAGATGATGTTGCACTTATTAGCTATTTTTTTTATGGATTATAATGTGAAGTAAAGAAATTGATGCTCAACTTATCTAATCCTCAAACATTGAGTCAAACAATTGATTTTGTTGTGAAGTATAATAATCAACTTTTTAAAATTTAATCTAAAAGTTGTAGAAATAGACCTCAATATTTTTATAATTTAATAGCAACATCAATGTCTTCTCAATATATACATTTGAAAGATAAAGATATGTAAATTAATACAATTTGTTTCAAACTTCTTACTAAGCAAGAAAAGACTTGTCATTAATAAGAAGGATTGTACTTATATCATAGAAAATCTATATACACTGCTTAGCATTGTCCAAAGAATCAACACAACTATAAAATTTAAAGTATGGTTGTCAAAAAAGACAATATGTTAGAAAACGAATTTGTCCAAATATAATAGGAACTAATTGGTTGGAACCTTGTACAACACCTACTAAAGGCTCTATTTTTTTCTTAAAATTATTTCTTTGTTTTACAATAGATGTTAGTTTAGAACATAAACATTATTAAGCCTTTATATTGCTAGATTTAGGAGCCTTGGCTTGTTTTTTAGATAAAGACTTTGCTAAAAGATATAACATATATTTAATTAAAAAAAAACTAAATCTATTTATATAAAAGGTTGTTTATTATCTTTTGGAGATGCTATCTATAAAAAAATTCCTATAAAAGTAGCAATTAATGGTCATAATAGCTTTATAATATTTAATATAATTAAATATATTTTTAATATAACAATTTCAAATTTATCATGGCTAAAAAAATATAACCTTTTAATATTTTGGATTAATTATAGTCTTGATTTTTTTCAAAGTAAAATTACTAGTTTTTATTATCCAAGTAGAAAGTCATAAGTTTAATGCAATCAAATCTTTATTTCTAAGTAGTAGAGCTTTCTTGCATGCTTCAAAAGAAGAATCACCTTGTGTTATTTATGCCATACTTATTTCTAATAGTAGGAAGATTTTAAATGGCATTTGATGCTAATATCAAGACTATTAAGATGTCTTTAAAAAAAATGTAGATACTCTTTTAAAAAATTATTTCTATGATTGTTCGATTAACCTTCAAGAAGAAGTTCAATTGCTATTTGTATCAATCTATAGTTTATCATAAAATGAATTAACTAAATTCAAGAAATATATTGAAGTGAACTTGGCCAAGAATTTTATATGCCATTCCAAATCTCTAGAAAAAATTCCAATCTTATTTGTAAAAAAAAAAGATGGATTATTAAAAATATGTGTAGATTATTATACATTCAACAAGATTATTATTAAAAATATGTATTTTCTATATTTGATATCTAGACTTTTTAATCAATTGAATTAAGAAAAGATCTATATCTAAATAGATCTTCAAGATATCAAGGATATGAATCTAACAGAATCGAAAACTCAATACATTCTTGTACAACTAAACAAGAATGGATATTCATTCAAAAATAATATAATATTAAAATTGGAGTAGAAACACATTGAAGGAGGCTTCACTTCTACCTCTATATATACTATCTAACTAGAAGTTATGTGGCAACATTCTATATGACCTCCAATACATGTCTAATTTGTAAGACATATGTCTTAACTTACAAGGAAAGTTTCATATATGTGAGCCATATCATTAGCTAATACTACAAGCTATCAATACGTGCAATACATGGTTAACTTGTTAACCAAGTTTCTAACCTATCAATTACTTATAGGCATGTATAAAAGTGAAATTGCATATGTAAAGCTTCTAAGTAGCTTTCTTATAAGATATTATTAAATTAACCTAATTTTATCTATTTATAATATCTAGGTAACTATTGGAATAAATATATATGTTCAT